TATCCCAGAAGATGTATTAGATGATTATGACAATAGTGATATTGATGAATATGAAAATGTCAATATGACCAATGAGGGTGAAAAAGGGATTTTAGATTACAATATAGATGACTTATTAGGTGAATTTCTTAATGAAGAGGTGTAAATATAATTTTTTTTTTTTCAAAATTCACGTTCATTATACATATATAAAGCATTTTAATAGAAAACAATATGACTATAAATTTTTGGGATAAATTTAATTTGTTTTTTTGTTGTGTAAATATTTTTATTTTTTTGCATTGTTTAATTTATCAATGTATTTGAATAAAAAATAAAATATTATTGATTTCATATATATTTGGGTTTTTTTGGATTATTTAATAATCTAATTAATTTACAATTGTGCAGTACAATTTTTACATATTATATAATTGAATCTGGTAGATGACAGTTTGTTTTGGTATTTCAGCAGTTTTGATATTTCAGCAGTTTTGAATTTTTGACATTTTTGACATTTTTAGCATTTTTGACATTTTTGGCATTTTCAACATTTTTGGCATTTTTGATCAGTTTTGGCATTTTTTGTCAGTTTTGGCACTTTTGGCATTTTGGCACTTTTGGCACTTTTGGCATTTTCAACATTTTTGGCATTTTCGATCAGTTTTGGCATTTTTTTGTCAGTTTCGGCACTTTTGGCATTTTTGATCAGTTTTGGCACTTTTGGCATTTTTGGCACTTTTGCCAATTTGTCATTTCGGCACTATGTAGGAGGTTTTACCTTTCAGCATCAGGCTAAACAGATTTTGACAGGCAACCTTAGTTGAGTCAGTATCAGGGATTAGATGCTATACTTGAAGAGATAAATAAGTAATCTCTTAAAAACATTTATTCCATCTGACAAAACATTGGTTAGGAATTGTATCAAATTTATGAGTATGAACTTTAATGCTATTTCAGATTATATAGTATTTGTACAATCATTTTTTTATTGTTACTAGCTTAGAAAAAATTATTTGCTACAATTTGATAATAAAGAAAAGTGCTGATTCTTGATCCATTCCAGACAAATGACCTGCTTACTATACAGTTTTCTCAAAATAACTTTGTGCTTCTTGAATAAGTGAAGAAAGTTGATTAGCTGATGAATCAATCCACTGTAGTGATATTAAATGTGAGTTGAGTATCTTCCCAACTTCTTCAATCTAATTAATGTCAATGATAAAAAAGCATTTTATATAAATATATGTGTAATAATGTAAATATAAAAAATATAAATCATAATTTAAAAAATATTAAAATTACTGGATCATCTTCAATGTCTTCAATCATCCCATCATCATTACCATCACCTGCTGGTGCAGTGGTAAAACTAGTAGATGATGATGATTGATTTGTGTTGATTTCATTAATTAATGTAAACAAGTCTTGACTCATAATATCTAAATTTTGATTTACATATTCAGTTATTTTATACCTTTTCAAAAAGAAATAAAAAAGATTTTTTGATTAGTTATTTAATGAATGTTTTTCTCATTAAAAACATTTTAATATTTTTTCTTACGTTTCTTCTCTCTCTTTATCAAATGGATTCATATTTTCCCAAATAGATTCATCAAAAAGTTTTTCAAAATCATCTAAAACCTTTTCTAAAACCTTTTGCTTATTATCTGTTTCATCTAAAAACGCATTAATTTCATTCTGTATAATTTTAGCCTCGTTAATTTTATCATTAAGCAGCATTACCTACAAGTATACATACCAATGTATATATTTAATTTATTTAGAAAAAAAATACAATAAATAAATAATAATTTAATTGATTAATTAATTAATTACCTTTCCATTAATTTCAATAACTCTTTGGTCTAATTGATGAACTTCTTTTACTTGACCATTAAATTTTTTGGTGCAATTGTCGAGATCTTTTGTCCATTTATCAATGATTCCTTCTATATTGTTGTTTTTTAACCATGCAGGTATTTGATCAGTAGCAGTTTTTGTTGTTTGCTTTTGTAGAAAGCAAAGATTTGATTTTTTGTTTTTGTTGAGCGTAATCGGTTTTGTTTTTATAAAAGAATCCAAGTGTTTTTGTGTTTGGCCAGATATAAAGCGCTTACATCTATTAACCAAAGTCGTTATCACATATCACTTTGATAATATTCTGTTACTAAAACCTTTTCATAATCTATGCTATTTTCATAAGTTTTAAGATATTTGGATAACTAACTGACTAGTAAATCATCTATAAACAAATTT